CCGCAAATAGACCTGGCAAACGGGCGGGTTGGGCGGGTATGGTCCGAGTAGCAATGGGTCACGGGTGGAACGGGTTACGGGTGAAAAATTCTCGCAGGTCGACATTTTCATGATCCGTAACCGCCCGTGCGGGCGTGGGTCACCCACGTGTCACCCGTGAAAATGGAAGCAGCTTTTTACATTTTTCATATTTTTTACTGTTTTCCATATTAAATTTATTAGTTATTAACTTATTATATTTTGGGGGCATTTTCCTTGCAATGCTAGTTATCAATTGCTATATTGAACGTTTCTCAGGCAAGAGGCAATTTCATGCCATGACTAGAAAGTTGTGTATTTCTTCACTAATTCATAATCTTAGAGAAAGGGAAGTAATATCTGTTCATCTATATTTGAAGGCAGCAATTCTTAAAGGTATCCATCAGAGATGACTTTAGTCACCTTCTACTGTTCTTTGGCACCCATTCAGTGTACAATAGTTTCATTGATTGCAGAGAGAAACCCGAATGCATGGAAAATTAGGCCTGATATCGAGCTCATCTCTGTCGTATACGCAGTAAGAATACAATATTATTCTTGACCACTTCTTTAACTTGCATCTTAATCCTCCAAAAAATCAGTAACCTGTTGGCTCTCTTTCTTTTAAAGGCGGTGTTGGGATGTGGGGACATTGTGTAGTTGCCTGGTGCATAAGAAGAAAGGACCTGTGTTTGTTGCCATGTTCAAGCCTGTGGGGATTTCATTGCTGCCTTTATGGGTGCCATCCCTTGGTGACATCTCCATATTGGAAGGTAACAATCTCTTTGCTTACAAAATACTGCTTCCTGCACCTCAAAACAGCTATAGAGAAGAAATCCAACACCTTCAAAAGGTGAAATATTTTAATAACCTTGAAAGCACTCGTTGTGCAGTGTTATAGGAGCAATTGTAATGTGTGGGTTTCTACGGTGTGATATGGGCACAGTCCAAAGAAGAAGAGAGTAAAAGTGAAGTGTGCAAAAATGACAGACCACAGGTATCTTCGCAAAAGACACCTCTCTTAGTAGCTACATAAATGTGTAAACCATGTAGTAGTTTGTGCAGTTAATCTTTATTTGGGAAAGGAAAGCATGAGCAGCTTGCTCACAAGTTAACCTTGATTTGTGCATACGGTTCAAACTATTTTGAGTTAACAGCATAAGTTCATTTCTGATCCATGCATGGGTTAAACAGATTGTGAGTATCAGAAATTCAACTAGTCAAGTCAAATAATGAAACGTATTCTAGCATCTATCTATGCTAAATCTTATTGTCTCCTCCCCAAATTCGGGAGTGCGGAAGTTGAAAGCCCTTGGCTATGATAAGCTTCAAGTGATGAAAGATGTCATATCTTTTCCCATGATTGGTAAAAAATCATCCTGTTAGGATATGAGAAGTTCTCAAACATTTCGGTTGCATTCATTTTTACCAACAAACATTGAATAGTCTATCAATATTACACATTGCGAGCATCTCCAAAAATCATATATGAACAAAAGAAGCTATACGTTTTACAACCTGTGTGTTTTCTCTACTAGTGGTGAGCAAAAAAGGTTATCAATTATCAGAGAGCGTACCCTACTCTCGTGTTGTCTGAGACCCCCAAGGCTTCATAGGATAACATCTAAGCAATTCTGATGCTTGGCTAGCAACTCCCCGGGGAGTTGACATTTTTTTCAAGATCTAGCAGGAAAGAAAAATTGCAGTGATTGTTGTTAAATGTGAAATTCGTGAACCTAAATTATGATCCAATTCACTTCTTAGATCATCAGACATTGCTGAAGGTATGCAATGGGTTGTAAGAATATCCAGGATTGCTGCTTTTGCAGTCTTCGTACGGAGGACCACTATCTGCATAGAACAACAACTTGCATTTCTATATGAGTAGCAACATGTCTATGAATCCTACCATATGCATATCCACATTTGCAGATATGCATAAGAAAAAATCCACTTCGACATCAAACTTTGACTAACAAAAGATTAGAAATACAAAAAAGGGAAAAATTAAATAAAAAGAAAAAGTGAGATAATAATGAAAATATACCTACAGGAACAAGAGGGTAAGGGTTCCTGATTTGCTTTCTCCTCCAATAAGTCCTTGAGACGGGTTCCACCCAACCATCTGTTCTTTTATTAATTAAGAGGTTATTGAATGTCAGGTTCGACTTGGATTAGCTCCAATTTGGAATCGAGTTGTGTAATTAACAATAACAGTAATGTTAGGTCAACAACCAACTCATAACTTTTTTCACAACCCCCGATGTGGCAACCGTAAATGGGCAGGTGAGATCTATTTGCGAGCTAATTAATTGCAAACTGCTACGTTAAGGGTTGTGAGAGAAGGTTGTGGGATTGAGTTGAGAGCTAGCATTACTCATACAATAATGCTAGGTGATCTTCTTGTTGGTTGCAAGGTTCATGTGGTCACATTGAGGGGCAATGTTACTTTATGCCCAGGGGATCTAGCAAGACCTTGTCTGTCATGACTCGTGATATAGCGGTGGCTAAGTTGTTTGTACACTTTACTTTTATAGAGGTGTCATTAACTGTTTCAAAAACATGGGGAGGTTATTTAACTTTAATGGATATCTAGGGGGTGCCATTGTTCTTTTCCCAAAATTTAGGATTTAAAGTTACTATCCAAGGAAATTGATAAAACTTACTAGATTAGTCACATTTTGAGGGTTTTATGTAATTACCAAGTTTCAAGCTCAAAACTTTATTAGGCATACTTGATTCAATTCAAGTCTCAACTTAAAAAGGTAGAGATCCTTTCATTTGAAACTTTTTGGGAAGTTGATGCTGTTTATAGTTGAGAAGTAAAGAAAAGTGAAGGTTTCGCTTGAATGCGTAGGAGTTTAAAGATAGGAGTATTTTGGCATTAAAATTAAATGGTGGCTAAAAGGTTTAAGTTTGAAAAGTGGGTTAATTAGATAAAACCCCTTCAAAATATGGCTGATTACATCAATTTTTCCTTTATTATAATACATAATTAATAAGGGCTTCTAAATTAATAACTAAAAACAATTTCTTATTTATATTAAATAAGTAGATAAACAATAAATAAATAAAATACTTATTCATAATTGAGATAAAAATGGAAATTATGGAATCCACCATTTGATTGGTAAATATCAAATATATATTTTGTTCTTTCCACATTGACCTGTTGTCCTTTTGTAAAGAGTAAACAAATATGGTGGGAAGTAGAGCCGGTGGTGCAAAACTCCTCTCAGTCAGGTATCCTCTGAATATCCCTCAATGAGAATTCGAAGAATACATGTTTGGAGAACAAGTTGTATTTAGAAAAACTTAAGTAAGGATAATTATAATAATATTCAAAACATTCATATAAGATGTCACGCAGGATCCAAACTTATAATTTCAAAAACTTTAAGAATTTTTCTGAAATACACAATCAAAACAAGTATAGGGTGGAAGCTTCCAAATGTGTTTCACAAACATTTATCATTTACATTATTTATATCAAGATAAAAACATCAAGATGACAATAAATCATCTCCCCTCATGTGAAGCCCCATTGTCTCTAACATCCTTCGTTTCTGGTCTACCTACAAAGCAATCGACAATAAAGGGTGAGCGCAATCCTCAATAAGGAATAGTCTATTTCATTATAAATGTGCTACTTGACCTTCATTTAAACTATTTGTTAACACACCACTGATCTTTTACATCTAGTATACTTCCATTTTTTTAAAATTCATATGCTTTTCATCATTTATTCCGTGGTATAAACATCAATGGTACACATACAAATAAGTATGTAAACATAGTAAACCACACATACATGTCATGATATAACATCTAAATCATCTAACATGAGTTAAATATCTCATGATATAAATAACATCATAACTCATGTAATGCAACTAAATGCATATGAAGCCTTTAACGTCTAGTCGATCGGACTTTTCAGCGTCTTAAACACTTCATATCATCTAGCCTCAAATTCATCTAGAGCTCATACATCAGGAGGCGTGCTTACGCTTTATTTAGCATCTAAAGCATATATTCATCTTTCCTCAACCGGTATACGAGGATATGCTATGCATTTTCCATCATGTCTATAGCATCTCTAATATTTTATGGCATGTAAATACATATTTAGAGCTTAATACTTTTAATTCACCTATGGATTATCAATCCATTTACATTAACTCTTGCTCACATTCATCATCTTAAAACATGTATTACATTGCATCTTCATGCAATTTCATAACATTAATCATGCATTGACATCATGACCATGTATACTTTTCAAAGATCATCTCACTAATGGGTAAAAATTAGCACATGGCTTAATCACATCAATATATAATCAATTCATAATCATAAGAATTAATTATGTTAAATCTTAAACTTTAATAACTAGAAGCTTATTCTTCAGGCCATTTTCCATCCATTTCCTAAATGAATTTGCTTTTGAATAAACATAAAGTTAGGGCTATGTCTTAATTTCTAGTGCTTCAAGAATCATATCATTTAGATTTCTATAACTTAAGTTATGATGGAAATACTGAAGCTTGTTTAACATACCCTAAACTTACCAAATCCGAATTTTTCATTAAATTATGCCACTCAATTCAATCTATTAAAAAAATTAAAACTAAAACAAATTTCCTCAGTTTTCTATTTTTTATTTTTTCTAATAATATGTCCTCATTATTTTTATTTTTATTTTTATTTTCTTATTGATTTTTTTTTTTTCAAATTATTGTAATTTTAAAAAGCTTAGTTTATATGAAACCATATTACACATAAAATTACTTTTATACCCTTAATCCTATAACTACAAATTTATTACAGAAGTGTCCTCGATTGATATGATAAAAATCCGTTTGATAAGAATCCGATGGTTCCAAATTTACGGAGTAAAAGCATGGTGGGAAGTCACTATCCAGCCAATAAGAAATAAAGGTTGAACTAAATATTTTGGCTCCGCGCTTATTACATGTAAAACACTATCCTCAAAAACTGTTTGGTGGTTTTCCATGAAAGCAGAAAATCATCCAATCCAATAGTCGAAGGTCACTGTTCAGTGTGGTGAGAATAATATAATACTTCCGATAGTGAATTTTGCAGATCAATTTTTCCTCAATATCTAGCAAGAGGGAAAGAGTGATGGGAGTGAAGTCATTTGTGGTCAAATTGCTGCCATTTGCAGCGATGGTGGCTGTTGAGACCTTTGATGTTGGTCTAACAACACTCAACAAAGCAGCCATGTCCAAAGGCTTGAGTCATTTCGTCTTTGTTGTCTATGCAAATGTTATTGCTTCTCTCATCCTCCTCCCCTCTTATTTTATCATATTCAGGTAGCTAATTTCCATCTTCTTCTTCTTATTATTTGATCATCAATAATACCCGGATTTATATTTTGTTTTATCTTTATGTGTAGGAGAAAGGGACCTCCACTAACTTTTTCTTTCCTATGTAAAGTCTTCCTCCTCAGCCTTGTGGGGTATGTATTTGCATTCAAGTGGTTGATTGTAGAAAAGGTGGAAGGATCTGAATTTGATTGTGCTCTGCGCGTTTTGTAGGATTACTCTGATGCAGAATTGTGTGAGCACTGGTATCAACTACAGCTCTCCTACTCTTGGTTCTGCAATGGGCAACTTAATTCCAGCTTTCACTTTCTTGCTTGCTGCTCTCTTCAGGTTCATTCTTTTCTCTTTTTATCTCATTGAAGAAAAATGCAAAAGTTCTTGATTTTTAGTTAACTTGAAATTGAGAAATGAAGATAAAATGAATGCAAATAAATATATGTGTGTGTGGATTAGAACTGTTTCTGTACTCCAAAGGCGAAAGTTTTGGTTTTACTGAATCCAAAGAACTAAGATGAGCGATGGATCCTTTTTATATTAGGGAATATCTCAAATTCTTTTGAGAAGATTAAAGAAGTATGATGGACATACTTGGGTTAGCGGTTGTAAAGATTTTTGCCATTTGCCATTTGCCATTTGCTATTTGACCTTTTTTCTTTTTTCTTTTTTTGGGTTGGTTCAAGGATGGAAAAGTTGAATTTGAGAAGTTTAATAAGCCAAGTAAAAATTTTGGGCACTTTGGTATCAATCTCTGGAGCATTGATTGTAATCCTTTACAAAGGTCCTGCAATAGGCGCTGTGCCTCAACCGCATTCATCTTCCTTACCTGCTGAGACTGCAACAAATGATTTGGGTATTGGGGGCATTTTCCTTGCAACTGCTAGTTTATCAATTGCTATATTAACTTTCTCAGGCAAGAGGCAATTTCATGCCATGACTAGAAAGTTGGGTATTTCTTCACTAATTCATAATCTTAGAGATGGAATTAATATCTGTTCATTCTATATTTGAAGGCAGCAATTCTTAAAGGATATCCATCAAGATGACTTTAGTCACCTCTACTGCTTCTTGGCACCATTCAGTGTACAATGTTTCATTGATGGCAGAGAGAAACCCGAATGCATGGAAAATTAGGCCTGATATCGAGCTCATCTCTGTCGTATACGCAGTAAGAATACATATTATTTCTTGACCACTTTTAACTTGCATCTTTAATCCTCCAAAATCAGTAACCTGTTGGCTCCTTTTTCTTTTAAAGGCGGTGTTTGGGAATGTGGTGACATATATGTAGTTGCCTGGTGCATAAGAAAAAGGACCTGTGTTTGTTGCCATGTTCAAGCCTGTGGGGATTCTAATTGCTGCCTTTATGGGTGCCACTTCCTTGGTGACACTCTCCATATTGGGTAACAATCTCTTGCTTACAAAATACTGCTTCCTGCACCTCAAAACAGCTATAGAAGAAGAAATCCAACACCTTCAAAAGGTGAAATATTTTAAACCTTGAAGCACTCGTTGTGCAGTGTTATGGAGCAATTGTAATTGTTGTGGGTTTCTACGGTGTGTATGGGCACAGTCCAAAGAAAAGAGAGTAAAATGAAGTGTGCAAAATGACAGACCACAGGTATCTTCGCAAAAGACACCTCTCTTAGATAGCTACATAATGTTAAACCATGTGTTAGTTTGTGCTTTAATCTTTATTTGGAAAGGAAAGCATGACAGCTTGCTCGCAAGTTAACCTTGATTTGTGCTACGGTTCAAACTATTTGAGTTAACAGCATAAGTTCATTTCTGATCCATGCTGGTTAACAATTGTGAGTATCGAAATTCAACTAGTCAAGCAAATTATGAAACGTATTCAGCATCTATCTATGCTAAATCTTATTGTCTCCTCCCCAAATTCGGGAGTGCGGAGTTGAAAGCCCTTGGCTATGATAAGCTTCAAGTTGATGAAAGATGTCATATTCTTTCCCATATTGGTAAAAAATCATCCTGTTAGGATATGAGAAGTTCTCACACTTTCGGTTGCATTCATTTTACCAACAAACATTGATAGTCTATCATATTACACATTGCTGAGTATCTCCAAAAACTCATATGAACAAAGAAGCTATACGTTTTTACAACCGTGTGTTTTTCTCTACTAGTGGTGAGCAAAAAAGGTTATCAATTATCAGAGAGCTGTACCCTACTCTCGTGTTGTCTGAGACCCCCCAGCTTATAGGATCCATCTAAGCAATTTCTGATGCTTGGCTAGCAATCCACCGCGGGAGTTATTTTTTTCAAGATCTAGCAGGAAAGAAAAATTGCAGTGATTGTTGTTATGTGAAATTCGTTGAACCTAAATTATGATCCAAATTCACTTCTTGAATCATCAGACTTGCGAAGGTATGCATGGGTTGTAAGAATATCCAATTGCTGCTTTTGCAGTCTTCGTACGGGACCACTATCTGCATAGAACAACAACTTGCATCTCTATATGAGTAGCAACATGTCTGAATCCTCAACATATGCATATCCACATTTGCAGATTGCATAAGAAAAAATCCACTTCGACATCAAACTTGACTAACAAAAGATTAGAAATCAAACAAGGGAAAAATTAAATAAAAAAAGAAAAGTGAATAATAATGAAAAATATACCTACAGGAACAGAGGGAGGGTTCCTGATTGCTTTCTCCTCCAATAAGTCCTTGAGACTGGTTCCACCCAACCATCTGTTCTTTTTATCTTTAAGAGGTTATTGAATGTCAGTTCGCTTGGATTAGCTCCATTTGGAATCGAGTTGTGTAATTATACAATAACAGTAATGTTAGGTCACAACTCAATCTCATAACTTTTTCTCACAACCCCCGATGTGGCACTCGAATGGGCAGTGAGATCTATTTGCGAGCTAATTAATTGCAAACTGCCACTTAAGGGTTGTGAGAGAAGGTTGTGGGATTGAGTTGTAGCTAGCATTACTCATACAATAATGTAGGTGATCCTTCTTGTTGGTTGCAAGGTTCATGTGGTCACATTGAGGGCAATGTTACTTTAGCCCAGGGATCTAGCAAGACCTTGTCTGTCATGACTCGTGATATAGCGGTGGCTAAAGTTGTTTGTACACTTTACTTTTTAGAGGTGTCATTAACTGTTTCAAAAACATGGGGTTATTTAACTTTAATGGATATCTAGGGGGTGCCATTGTTCTTTTCCCAAATTTAGGATTTAAAGTTACTATCCAAGGAAATTGATAAAACTTACTAGATTAGTCACATTTTGAGGGGTTTATGTAATTACCAATTTCAAGCTCAAAACTTATTAGGCATACTTGATCAATTCAAGATCTCAACTAAAAAGGTAGAGATCCTTTCATTTTGAAATTTTTGGAAAGTTGATGTGTTTATAGTTTGAGAAGTAAAGAAAAGTGAAGGTTTCGCTTGAATGCGTGAGTTAAAGATAGGAGTATTTTGGCATTAAAATTAAATGGTGCTAATAAGGTTTAAGTTTAAAAGTGGGTTAATTAGATAAACCCCTTCAAAATTGGCTGATTACATCAATTTTTCCTTTTATTCATAATACATAATTATTTAAGGCTTCAAATTAATAAACTAAAAACATTTCTTATTTTATTAAATAAGTAGATAAACAATAAATAATAAAATACTTATTCAATTAGATAAAAATGGAAATATGAATCCACCATTTGATTGGTAAATATCAAATATATATTTTGTCTTTCCACATTGACCTGTTGTCCTTTTGTAAGAGTAAACAATATGGTGGGAAGTAGAGCCGGTGGTGAAAACTCCTCCATCAGGTATCCTCTGAATATCCCTCAATGAGATTCGAAAATACATGTTGGAAAAAGTTGTATTTAGAAAAACTTAGATAAGGATAATTATATATATTCAAAACATTCATATAAGATGTCACCAGGATCCAAACTTATAATTTCAAAAACTTTAGAATTTTTCTAAATTACACATCAAAATTTTAGGGTGGAAGCTTCCAATGTGTTTCACAAACATTTATCATTTACATTATTTATATCAAGATAAAAACATCAAGATGACAATAAATCATCTCCCCTCATGTGAAGCCCCATTGTCTCTAACATCCTTCGTTTCTGGTCTACCTACAAAGAATACAATAAAAGGTTGAGCGCTAATCCTCAATAAGGAATGTCTATTTCATATATGTGCTACTTGACCTTCATTTAAACATATTTGTTAACACACCACTATCTTTTCATCTAGGTATACTTCCATTTTTTAAAAAATTCATATGCTTTCATCATTTTATTCCGTGTTTATATAAACATCAATGCGTACACATACAATAAGTATGTAACATAGTAAACACACATTACATGTCATGATATAACATCTAAATATCATCAACATGAGTATAAATCATCTCATGATATAAATAACATCATAACTCATGTAATGCAACTAAATGCATATGAAGCTTAACGTCTAGCGATCGGACTTTCTTAGCGTCTTAAACACTTCATATCATTAGCCTCAAATTCATCTAGAGCTCATACACATCAGGAGGCGTGCTTCGCTTTATTTAGCATCTAAAGCATATATTCATCTTCCTCAACCGTATACGAGGATATGCTTAGCTTTTCCATCATGTCTATATGCATCTCTAATATTTTATGGCATGTAAATACATATTTTAGTGAGCTTAATACTTTTAATTCACCTATGGATTATCATCATTTACATTACTCTTGCTACATTCATCTCTAAACATGTACATTCTCATCTATTCATGATTGCAATTCATAACATTAATCATGCATTGACATCATGACCATGTATCTTTCAAAGATCATCTACTAATGGGTAAAAATTAGCACATGGCTTAATCACATCAATATATAACATTCATAATCATAAGAATTAATTATGTTAAATCTTAAACTTTAATAACTAGAAGCTTATTCTTCAGGCCATTTTCCATCCATTTCCTAAATGAATTTGCTTTTGAATAAACAT